TAAATTTTAATAATCATTACCATGGATAAAATCTTACCTAACCCTTGCAATATCCCTGTAGGATAAGCGGGGTAACTCTTTTATAGTAGGAAAAAAAAACACCCAAAAGCCTATTAAAAAACCTGAGCTCAAGCCCTGGACTTGCCACTTACCAATTGTGGAACTTGGGCCATTTCATCTTTCTGGGGGTCAGTTTCCATTGAGTAGAAATGTGGACCATAGTACTTACAGTGTTTTTGTGAAGATTAGATGTGATCGTAAAAGTAAAAATATTTTCTATTTTATTTATCAGTCTGTAGCTCAGGCTGGAGTGCAGTGACACAATCACGGCTCACTGCAGCCTTGACCTCCCAGGCTCAGTTGATCCTCCCACCTCAGCCTTCTGGGTAGCTGGGACTACAGGTACGTGCACCACTCCCAGCTAATTTTTTGTAGAGATGGGATTTTGCCATGTTGCCCAGGATGGTCTTGACCTCCTGGGTTCAAGCAATCCACTTGCCTACACCTCCCGAAGTGCTGGGGTTACAGGCATGAGCCACTGTGCCTGGCTGTAAAGTGAAAATACTCTATAAACCAAAATCAAGAATGTGAAGTTAAGGCACAGGTAGGTTAGCAAAGGCTTCCAGGTTTGGGGTTCTACAGTCTTGAAGAGCAAATCTTAGCTCCACTACTTAGCAGCTGTGTGACGGTACATGAGTTACTTAACTTCTCTGAATGTCAGCATTCTTGTCTGTAAATTAAAGTTAGAAATAGTACCTTTCCAATAGAGGTATCAGGAGGATAAAATGTGATAACACAGCTAAAGTGCTGAGTAGAGTGCTCAACCTATTACTGTTAGCTGCTGCTTTTTGTTCTTGTTTGTATCATCATTGTCAAGTCCATTTTGGTGGTAACTCAACATGATGTACTAACAAAAGCTTGGGCTCTGAGCTCAATGAGCCAATGACCCAGTGCTGTGTTGAGGAAGAACTACCATGCAGCCCTGATCCTCAATCCTTTCACCTGCAAAATGGGACAGTAGACAATCACTTTCATTGCAAGATTTTTGTGAGGCTGGAATGAAGAAACCTTGTTGGAGACCCATGCATGGTAGAGGCTCAGATGGAACGTCAAGTTTCATGCAGAGATAGAGAAGCTAAGAGGTGGAGGTACTGTGGCTTCACTAAACAGGTGAGAGGTGACTATGGCTAGATTAGAGCACAGGCTCCTGGTGGAGCCTGGAGACAGGCCTGCAGGGCGGATTCCAACCCAGGGGTGTCGGGTGGAGTGGTCTTTGGGTGATCCACACTCAAAAGACCTCAGGATGAGCGTGGTGGCTCATACTTGTAATCCCAGCACTTTGGGAGGCCAAGGTAGGAGGATTGCTTGAGCATAGGAGTTTGAGACCAGCCTAGGTAACATAGCAAGACCCTGTTTCTACAAAATATTTTTAAATATTAACTGGGCATGGTGGTGCATGCTTGCAGTCCTATCTACTAGGGAGGCTGAGGCAGGAGGATCTATTCAGCCCAGGAGTCCAAGGCTGCAGTGAGCTATGATTGTTCCACTGCACTCAAACCTGGGCCACAGAGCAAGACCCTGTCTCTAAAAATACATATACTTATTCATATACATATAATACACATACATAAATATATAACTTTTTAAAAAAAGATCTCAGAGCATAGCAGTTAAATGCAAAACTCTTTAAAGCCAGACTGCCTGGGTTCAAATCCTGGTCCTGAAATGCACTAGCTGTGTGGCCTCAGTCCCCTGGTCTACACAATGGGAATGATGACAGAACCTATCTAAGTTGTCATGAGACTTAAAATTGTTTGCCTTGTGCTTCACATATAGTAGGCATTATTATAAGTCTTTGAAAATACATTTAATTTATGCAACATTAAAATATATGTGCTTAGCCCAAAAAAAGTGAGAAAAAATAATTTAAATTGGAGCACTTCACTCAATGAGCATATGCGCAGAGTGCAGGTGAGATGGAAGGGGATCTGCTCTTCCCTCAGCCAACGGCACTTGGCATCCCAGGGTCTCTTGCTTGCAGTGAGTGCGTCTCCACAAGCACTTTTTTCTTTCAATCGATACAGTGCCTAGAGATAGATTAACGACTTCATCTGACCCTCAGTGACTGAGAGAGCAATCTGTTCCGTCCTTGGCTTTGCCGGATGGGGAGATTCTGCATTGGTCTCCAACATGGGGAGGTCTTCATTCCCATGTGCATTAGTCCATTCTCATTAGTCCATTAGACATACCTGAGACTGGGTAATTTATAAAGGAAAGAGGTTTAATTGACTTGGAGTTCAGCATGGCTAGAGAGGCCTCAGGAAACTTACAATCATGGCAGAAGGGGAAGCAAACGTGTCTTTCTTCACATGGCAGCAGCAAGGAGAAGTGCAGAGTGAAGTGGGGTAAAAGTCCCTCATAACACCATCAGATCTCGTGAGAATTCACTCACTATCATGAAAATAGCATGGAGGTAACCGTCCCCATGATTCAATTACCTCCCACTGGGTCCCTCCCACGACACATGGGGATTACGGGAACTACAATTCAAGATGAGATTTGGGTGGGGACACAGCCAAATCATGTCACCATGCAAGACCCAAACCCACTGAGCTCTTGCGTTCTAGGCTCTCATGGTTCTCAGTCTCTCTTCCCTGGCACATGACAATCCCTGGAGAGGACCCACAGTTCTGCAAAATTTCTATGTACACCCAGGCCCTAGTCTCTAATTCCAGAAAGCATATTGCAATATGATGAGGTGAGTGGGATGGTTCAATATTAAAAGAATTATCTCAAATCTACTCTATTTAATCACTTTTAAATCAATAAATCACAAACAAATATACTACAATGAACACTAGTCACCCATGATTAATTTCTCCCTCTCTCAACATATCCAACTGAAATGGAAAACTGCTGCTGCTCGGCCTTTTTGCTAGGAACAAGGTCCCTTTCTTAGTTGATTTACTGCACAGAGACTGTCCTTTGCCTGATGATGTCAATGAATCCATTTGGGGATAACCAATGGAAAAGGCAGAAGGTAGGAGAGCAGGGGAGCCTAGAGGTTTAAATCCCAGCCCTCTCTCTATCACCACTTGAACACCTTTAGGCCTTAAATCCCCATAGTAAGACTAGAGATTTGGACTAGCAAGGTTAGGTGTACTCCTTTCCTGGTCTTTGCCAAGTCTCCATTGCATGATGTAAATTATCATTCACTTAATATTTTGCTTTCTATTGTCTCTCTTCTTCCACTCAAAGCAGTTTATTTTAAAAGCCAACTTTGGCCGGGCATGGTGACTCATGCCTGCAATCCCAGCACTTTGGGAGGCCGAAGCAGGTGAATCACTTGAGTCCAGGAGTTCAAGACCAGTCTGGGCAACATGGTGAAACCCAGTCTCTACTAAAAGTACAAAAATTAGCTGGGCGTGGTGGTGTGTGCCTTTAGTCCTAGCTACTAGGGAGGTTGAGGTGGGAAGATCACTTGAGCATGGGAGATCGAGGCTGTAGTGAGCCATGATCATGCCACTGCACTCTAGCTGGGGAGACAGAGCCAGAACCCATCTAGAAAAAAAAAAAAAAAGCCAACTTTAGCCACCTTTGGAGCACAATAGTGAACCTATTTATTATCTTGATAACTATTAAATAAAGAGAAAGAATCAAGCATTTATCCTGCCTTTTTCACATGAACTATACCACCAGGAAACCAAGTAATAGGTAAAGGGAGGCCCTTCTTTATAAAGGCATTCTCACTAGTAAATGAAAAATAAATGATAGAATTAGGACATCACCATTTTACAATCCCTAATGAATGAACAGATCTAGGCACCAAGCATCAGTCGCTGCCAACGTCACTGTGAGAGACAACCAGCCATTATATGCCTTCAGATGAAAGAACAGGCCACCATCTATGGTCTTGCCAAAGAGATCCTAGCTGAGTCTGATCAAGCGTCCAGAACCAGCTGCCAATTGCGCGAAATACAGAAGACAGAGGAAACATGTTGAGGTGCCCCAAGCCTCTCTCGTCAGGGAAACCCAGACCATAAAAATGCGACAGGTCACACAGCCCAGGATATCTTCAGCAGATAATAGAACAGATAAAAGAAAAGAATTAAAGAGAGAGGGAAATCACTAAAGACATCAAATTAGATGCAAAGTGCTATAGTGTCCCATCTCATATGTGGGTTGGGCTCTAAAATCAGTCACTCTACTCAGTAAGTTGAGAACTGGATAGAGTCAAAATTAATCTTGAAAAGTCCCCAAAACATCTTAAGTCACCAGGCCATTGGCCTTGAGAAGCCTAAAAGGCATCAATTAACTTTGTACCCCTTCGCATTTGGGCTCTGACCTCTCCATCTCCTTGGGTATGGAAACCAAGGTCTAATTTGAACAGGGAAAAGGTAAGACGTTACTTAAAGCAGGGACTCTTGCTTTTGCAGATATGGTTGAAATCACAGTCAAGAGCAGAAAGTGGACAAAAGCTCCCTTCTCACCTTGGCAGCTATGGCTCTGAGTTCACTAGCTCCTTCCCAGGACACGGTGTGCCTTCCCTGAGAGTCCTCGAGGGCTGTGTTCTCAGGAGACATCCTCCCTCAAACGAGGCCCATGCAAAGGCCTCAGGCAACCTGCAGAGATGTACTCGTGCATTTATCCAAAGGGCTGGAGGGCTGAATGGAACCATCTAGAGCCACAAGCTGTGAACCTTTTCACCCAGCTCCTGTCCCCAAGTCACCCCTTGCTGTCAGAGAAAGGCCCTGCTCTGTTGATTATAAAAACAATTGCTTGAGTTCCTTTATCTGAGTTGAGACAGCATCTGCCTCAGGGGAGAGCATTTCTCAGTAGCAACCTCAGAACTCTCAGCTGACTTCCCTAGGCCTTACATCTTTCTGTGTCTAGAAAGAGAAGGGTGCAGGTATCTCTGTGGTGAGTGCTGCTAAGACAGCTTTGGCCAAAGCCTAGTGAAGCCTTGGAGGTGGAATACCCAGGGTCATGGGACAAGTTACCATGGTCTGGAAGCAGGAGTGGAGCTGGGTCAGGAAGGGCGGCTTCCCGGGTAGGGCCAGCACCCGCTTCTCCACCATAGTGCACTCCACGTCATCATCTTGGATCACGACATCCTTCTTCAGGATCTTCACAGCATAGAGCTCATCTGTGCCTTTTCGTTCTGAAAGCATGACCTGGGAAAGAGAGCAAGCATGTCAGGGCAGTTGGAAGGAGTCTGGGGGCCAGTTATGAGCAGCTGGTGTTCATTTGTAGCCACACTTAGCTTTGTATAAGTGCCCTCTGTTGATTCTGAAACAATAGATAATGTTTTCCATTGACTTCACACTTTCATATTTTCAGACACAGGGTCTTGCTCTGCCACCCAACCTAGACTGCAGTAGTACGATCATGACTCACTGTAGCCTAGATGGTAGTTACATGATCATAGCTCACTGCAGACTCGAACTCCTGGACTCAGCGATCCTCCTGCCTCAGTCTCCCAAGTAGCTAGGGCTACAGGTAAGTGCCACCATGCCCAGCTAATTTTTTTATTTTTTATTTTTTGTAGAGACAAAGTCTTACTATGTTGCCCAGGCTGGTATCCTGGCCTCAAGCAATCCATCTGCCCCAGCTTCCCAAAGTGCTAAGATTACAGGGCTGACTCTGCATCCAGCCCTGACCTCACACTTTGAATAGCTGAATTCAATCAAGACAGGATGGTTCCAGGGGAGATGATTGTATATTGATCCCTCTGGGGTAAGAGGCAATGCATCAGTGCCTAGCTAGAAGGTAAGTCCCATGAGGGCAAGTATCTTTGCTGGTTTGGTTTACTGGTGTAACCCAAGAGCCTGCAATAGCTCCTGGCTCACAGTACATGTTCAATAAACATTTGTTGAACGAGGGAATGAGTGAATGACTGACAAAACTACAATTAGGGCACTTGTTCCTTTATTAATTCAAGTATTTAATGTTCACTAAGAACCTGCTAAGCACTGGGGATACAGCAATAAACAAACAAGCACATTCTCTGACCCTTAACTCCAGAGAGGTGGAAAGATTTTGCAAATTAATTACAGAGATGATTAATTTAATATTTTAACAGCCTCTCCTGTTGTCTTGGGGCTTCCTTCTATGAGCTGTGCTGTGGTCATATTCAGGGCCAGTTAACCAGTGTCGCTCACAGACACATCAGTATTTTCTGTGTGTCACCCCCTCTCCCACTCCTCCAACCAGGGGGAGCATTCTTTGAACATTCTTTGGTTTTGATTGTGCCAGAGAGAACAATGACCAGCAGGTTCTCTCAAGAAGCCTTATAGGAAGCACAAGGCAGAACCACATTATGAAGAATCCTAACCTGGTTTGGCGGCTTCTAGGAAGGCTTCCTGGAGGAAGAAACAATCAGATTGAAGTATTCACTGTATACACTGTGTCAGATATTTTGCAGGCAATAATGTTAATCACCACTACATTTTTGAGCACTTTTCTACAGACCAAACAATTCCAGGTTTTCACTTATTGTTATTCATTTGTATTGCATAAGATCCTAGGAAGTAGGTGCCACTGTGAATCCCATATTGCAGGAAATCAAGGCTCAGGAGGGTAAGGGAACCAATTAGGGCCAGAGTTCAGGTGATCGAAGAAATTAGATGCTACACCCAACTCAGCTGGAGGACCAGAGGATACAACAGAGACCTGAGGCTAGAAGGGGTGATACACAGAACAAGCTTAGCAACAGGAAGGCAGCTCTGCACACCCCACCCAGCTCTTATCCCGGCACCAAAAGGTCTGGCTAAACTCATGCACAGAAGCTTCCAGATCATGCATCCATGCACTGAAGCTTCTGGGCTGAGCTTGCCAACTCACAGCGTTCCCATCTCCTGTACTCACCATCTTCTCTCTCATCACAGCCAGAGTGGCAAAGGCCACGCAGACCCAGGGATTTGGGACACCTTAGGAAAAGGGTCCCTGTCACACACTTCCACAGCAAGAGGACTCTTATTAACCTCTTTCCTCTCCAGCACCACAACAAAAAAGAAGAGTTGCCAGTCTGAGTGGCTCCTGCAGACCCATTTGTTTACATGCATGGCAAGACAGGGCTCCGAGTGCTAGGATGGGCGTCTTCAGTTTATTTCCTGCCTCCCTCTGTTCTCTCTCTGGTACCCAAGGGCTGTATTTTCCTTCCTCAATGCTTACTAACACAGAAACAACGACTCAAGGGAGTCACTTTCCTAAGATGTAGAGTCAGATGGAGACAGGGACTTCCTGCTCTCGGATCTGAGAGAGAGCTGGGGCCAGGACAAGTGCAGGGAGGGGTCAGGGAGGTGACTTAGCTGGAAGACAAATGAACAGAGGGACCAGAAGAATTTTCAGCTGAGAAACTCCAGAGCCCAGTAGGAAGGGCTTGCTGCTGAGCTGTCCTTGACAGTGGACACCCTCTGATGTGGTCTGGCTGTGTCCCCACCTAAATCTCATCTTGAATTGTAGCTCCCATAATTCCCACTTGTTGTGGGAGGGAACTGGTGGGAGATAATTGAATCACGGGAGCGGTTTCCTGCATACTGTTCTAGTGGTAGTGAATAAGTCTCACAAGATCGGAGGATTTTATAAGGGGTTTCCCCTTTCTCTTGGTTCTCATTCTCTCTTGTCTGCTACCATGTAAGACATGCCTTTAGCCTTCCACCATGACTATGAGGCCTCCCCAGGCACATGGAACTGTGGGTCCATTAAACCTCTTTTTCATAAATTACCCAGACTTGGGTATGTCTTTATCAGCAGCATGAAAACAGACTAATACATCTTTCCTGACCCATCATCACCGGTCAAGGCACCATCCAACAATCCTGAATATCCGCAACTACCTCCCACTCCCCCAGTCAAGAGGAGGAGGAGCCCTAGACACCTTCAGTGCAGATGCAGTGATGATAGGACATCTTAGCCTTCCGCATGGAAGAGAGACAGGGCAGAATGGCTGGGAATTTCCCCCTTCATCAGGGACAGCAGTGGACATCCTACATCTGTGTCAATTACCCCCATTTCGTAGATAAACACACTGAGGCTCAGGGAGATTAACTTGCTTCAGCTAATGATTGTTCTGAAAATGCAGCTCTGACTGTGCCACTTGAATGCTGAAAGCCCTTCAGTGGCTCTTGAAAGCCAAACAATTCCATGACCACATCCTGTTCTTTCTTTTCCTTTGAACATTTGACTCCCACTGTCTATGACGTCCTTCCATGCTCTTGCACTGCTTTGAAAATCTGAGATTCCACAGGGCTGTTATCTCCTCCTCTAATCTGGAGGTTCCATTTAGACCAAATCCGCCACTCCCTCCTCTGGGCACCAGGGCCGCTTCGAAACTATGTCAGTTACTGTAGCTCAGGCTTTTCCGCACTTCAATCATTCATATCCCTTTTTTCACATTTCTTCCTGCCACCTAAACTGTTATTTGCTTAGCATTTTAAAAATCTAGTCACATTTCAACTTAACTAAATTTGAAAAGGAAACTTATATCACCACTATTAATGGCAAGCCAGTATCACAAGTCATAAATGGAAGATAAGCATAAAAATAAATAAAAGCAAAGCAGTGCCAGTAAATTCTAGCTATATACTGCTGGCTGCTGAAGGTTCTGAGTCAGGCTTTGTGTCTTCTCCTTGTTAAAGGAAAAAATTATATTAGAAAGTTGTTAGAGAGCATATTGCCATCAAATGAGATTTTCTTGTTCAAGTAATTAGAAAGAGTAAAAGAAGACACAGAAAATAACCTTATCATAATGTGACTTAATTTTATTTAATAGCACAACTACATAGCACCTAAAACAATCTCAAGTAGCAATTGAAATCTTCTTGCAAATCAGCAGTGCTATGTGCTCTGCATCTTAGGAAATACTATTGCATTTGTACAGATAGTTTTAAAAATCAACAAACAGGGATGTGTGAAGATTTCCAGTGTCTTGCCCTGTCCTCAACAACGTGCCCTATACTGATTAAAGGAAAACAGAACTGACATGCAAAAAGCACAGCAAAAATTTAGAATTAGAAGCAAACTGAATTCTAGAGCAGGAGCCAGAAAACTTTCTCTATAAAGAGCAAAACAGGAAATATTACAGGCTTTGCGGGACGGTCGGGATCCAGTGAATGAGTGTGGCCCTGGTCTAATAAAACTTTATTTACAAAAATAAGCAGTAGCCTAGGCTCCAGGATTTTGCTGACCCTCGTTTTAGAACAAGTGTTTCAAGAAGGATCAGGGAAAATAAGAGCAACCACGTGATAAAAAATGACTGCAGTTTAATTGGGAAATGAAAATCCTAGCATGCCTTTCACTTCTTCCAACTTTGTTATTAGAAGAACCTTCTGATTGGGCAGTGGACACAGATGGCCACAGTTGATTGGATCAGAGGTAAGCTCCTCAACCTGAGCCAAACCAATCGGATTCCCCCTCCTAAGAATTTGAATTAGGGTATTCCAAGGAGTCCGTCCTGGGTCCTTCAACAGAGAATATACAGATCTTCCTAGAGTGGTCCTTTTCTTTTTCTTTTTGTTTTGTTTTGTTTTGTTTTTTGTTTTTTGTTTTCTGTTTTTTGTTTTTGAGACAGATTCTCACTCTGTTGCCCCGGCTGGAGTGCAGTGGCATGATCTTGGCTGACCTCCTCCCGAGTTCAAGCAATTCTCTTGCCTCAGCCTCCCAAGTAGCTGGGATTACAGGCTTCCATCACTACACCCAGTTAATTTTTGTATTTTTAGTAGAAATGGGGTTTCACCGTGTTGCCCAAGCTGTTCTCAAACTCCAGACCTTCAGCAATCCACCCATCTAGGTCTCCCAAAGTGCTGGGACTATAGGCATGAGCCACCACACCCAGCCTAGCGTGGTCCTTTTCTACCACTGTGCAGGCAAAGAGGAAGAAAATAGATGTTTGAGACAGAGGGGGAAAAAAACCAAAGAAGGTAAGAGAACAAGCAGAGGCCTTGCTTTCAGTTTCCAGCCTCTCATGAGGCTTAGCTGTTTTCTGTTAGAAACCTTTATATCTCTCTAATAAAGTTATTTTTATTTATATTACTTATGTATCTTAGAGATCCCTAAGACAAAATTATTACATAGGTAGCTTAATTCTTAATAATAATTAGAATACATGAAGCCAAGTAGCATCAGGTCAGTATATGACCTTAAACGAGGCAAATTCCACTCTTTATAAAGGACT